TTATAACACTCTCAAATAGTATGGCGTGGCCTGTCACGATATTTATTTTTTGTCGTACGATATATTGCACCAAAATATATTGCGATAAATTATATTATTGTCATTTTAAAGCCCTTTTATGCAACCCATTATTACGCCCCATTTACACGGGGCTTTAGTGTCAACACTTGACTGAAGGCGTGTCTGAAGTTGAAGCTGAAGCGATCGTCATAGAAGCATCAGCCAATGAAATTCAGTCAGCAATAGGCCACTGTCTAGCTGGTGTGTTTGCATACAGCGATCTGATTGGCTGACGCTTTCATCGGCTCTTGAAAAGTTGAGCTAGTCCCAACTTCTGCAGCAAGCAACCCCTGTGAAGCAACGCCGACAGATCCACAATGCAGTTCGGCCACGCCTGATGTCTGATGAATGGGAAGCGTTGACGCTGATGCCCCGAGTGAATGGGGCGTAAGGGATGTAACGATTCACTGTGAGTCGATTCTAAATCGATTCCAATATGTGATAATTTAAACCGGTTGGAATGTTTAATGAATCTCGAAACATGTTTTAAACAGAGGGGGCGCTGTGTTTACAGGGACAAACTCACTTTACCTGCACATCAGCGGCGAGCAAGAGGTGGGGCGGCAGAGTAATATAACAGCAGTGAAGTGCACCAGACAAAACAAACGGTGCAAATACTGCAAAAAGACGTTTACATACGCAGAACAGCAAATATGATGCACATAAACTGTCCGCACAGTGAAATACACGACACAGACATCTATACGGAGGAAAAAAGCAACATTTTTAAATAGCTATTTAGGTATAGCAGAAAATATATTAAATTTAATAACCTTAATAGTAACCTTAAATTTGTTTCAAATAATTTTGTTTAAAAATCGTGAATAAATCGTGAATTGTGAGATTAGTATTGTGAATCATATCCAAATCGTGAGTCAGGTGAATCCTTACATCCCTACCCATTGTCTAACACCAGAATGACAATATAATAGCATCACAATGCAAGTACACTCTTCCAAACCTTGCATAATTAGGTATCGGAATCAAAATGATAATAATATCCTAAACAAATAAATAATAAACGTTGATCGGAACGTGCAAGATAAAGGGTAACAGATGCTGTGATATCTGATATCTACTACCATTGCTGTCAGACGCCCACATGAAAATATACTATAGCATAATTGACAACACTTCCGTTTTTCCTGGGAGTGTCCCGTATTTCGGACCGATCCCCCGCACCCCTCCTGTTTTGTTATTTCTCCCGGGAAAACTCCCATAAAATCATCTCCCTCCCCCCCAGGACAGTTACTTTCCTATCCTGGTTCTCAACAGTGTTATTCAGAGACCTCACCCACGATCTCCCCCTTCCTCCCTGGTCTCCTGGATTTTCAGAGACAAATGTTGCCAGGTATGTACTATAGTAATTTACAGTAAATACTACTATAGTTTAACCATACTGACACCTCCAATAGAGATCAGTTCCAATGTCGCTAGTTTTTTTTTATGTACGGGCGATATATATTGCATCACTGAAAATGATTGAGGTCATGTCCGTGTGTTGTGTGATAAGTCCATATTGATTATTGTGACAGGCCTAGGCATGGCGAGTTTAGCCCAGACAAACAGTAAATGCATGAATCCAGTTCACGTTTACCCTCATGATTAATCTAGTAGCGGCAAAATGGAAACATAAATTGAGCCACTTTGGCCTGTCACGCGCACTTGATTCAGGTGTGAAGTGTCAGTGGAAACAGGGCACCAGTGTGTGCTCCGAGTGCCAGAACGGCCTGAACTTTCTGCCTCCGCCGTGACCTCTGTGCTGAAACGGAGCTCCTCTGGTGTGTCTGACACCTTTCCCCACACTGCTGTTTCACGTTTCTCACTCGGGGGCCGGAGCTTATCCACACGGTCCCTGCTCTCAGGTGTTTCCTAATGACAGTTTTCATCTGCCAACATACAGCGCCTCCTCTGCACACAAACACCCAGAAGCTAAAGTCCATTACAGGCACAGTTCACCCACAAATGAAAACCTGGACCCTTTTCACAAGACTGTCATAATGCATTTAACAGTCATCAGCATCTTAAATCCTTGTGTGTTTACGAATGAAATTAAGTTGACCAGACACAATATAATAAATATTTTGTGTTCGTATTATCTGCAATGAAATACAAGTCAAAGAATTAATTTTTTGGCATTTGTCGGTGAGGTTTGCAACATTGACTTGCTTTGAAACTATCTAATTGTATGCTTGGTAACCAGATGATTGCTGGTTCAATCCCAAAAGGAATGGTCTGTGAGCCAGTGGTGCAAGACCCAGAAGCCTGCACCAACTCAACCTGTACCTGTACTGTTTTACATTTACACATTGGGCAGATGCTTGACCCACAACCTTGGCATTGCTAGCACCATTCTCTTCCAGCTAAGCTACAATGACACCAGTTCAGCTTACAGTAGAGTAAGAAATATAGGACGGATCAAGGCATAATGATCAGGTATACTTAATTTTCCATGCTCTGCTTCAACTTGCACTGTCCACGTGAATGGAAAATTTGGGATGCATGCTGATGATGAGCAAGGATGTCTGCAGACACTCCTGATGATGAAAATTGCATTACAAGAAAAGCAATGTGACTGCTGTGGAATGGGGATGGCTGAAGTTTGGCCTTTACATTTATGCATTTAGCAGAAGCTTTTATCCAAAGTGACCCGTGAACAAACACCCTAAGCAGGGAATCTCAATGGAATCAGTTCAGCCGTGATTGTTAATGAGGTGGATATTTATTTTAATATCCCTGCTGGTCCCAGGACTCAAACTTGCAACCTTTGGATCCCAAGTCCAAATCTCTAATCGTTAGGCCATCCCTACTCCCATACCCAAATTAGGCAATCCTTATACCCACTATACCCAAATTAGGCCTTCCCTATACCCACTATTACACTATATCCACAGTAGGCCATCCATATGCCTACTATAACCCTATACCCACATTATGCCATCCCTATAACCCTATAGCCACATTAGGCCATCCCTATACCCACTATACCACTATTACTAGGTTAGGCCATCCCTATACCCACATTAGGCAATCTTTATACCCACTATTATCCCATACCTACTATACCCCTATACACACATTAGGTCATCCCTATACCCACTGTAACCCTATACCCATATTAGGCAATAACTTTACCCACTATACCCCTATGCCCACATTAGGCAATCCCTATACTCACTATACCTCTATACCCACATTAGGCTATTCCTATACCCACTATAACCCTATACTCATATTCAGCCAAACGTATACCCACTATTACGCTACACCAGGAGCGTAGTAACCGGGGGCAATGGGGGGATACGTCCCCCTCACTTTTAGAGACAGACCATTTAGAAACAGGTGATTGAGAATGTAAACCTTTGGATTTTATACAGCTGATCCCCCACTTTTAAAATTTCCACTACGCCCCTGCGCTTTACCCACATTAGGCCTCCCTATACCCACTATACCCCTATACCCACATTAGGCAATCTTTATACCCACTATAACCCTTTAACCACATTACACTATCCCTGTACCCACTATACCCCCTATACCCACTGTAACACTATACCCACGTTAGGCAATCCCCATACCTATTATACCCCTATACCCACATAAGGCAATCCCCATACCCACTGAACCCCTATACCCACGTTAGGCAATCCCCATACCCACTGAACCCCTATACCCACATAAGGCAATCCCCATACCCACTGTACCCCTATACCCACATTAGGCAATCCCCATACCCACTGTACCCCAATACCCACATAAGGCAATCCCTATAACCACTATACCCCTATACCCACATAAGGCAATCCCTATACCCATTATACTGTGCCCTGGCCAAAGTCCCTCTATCCGCCCTTACGATCATGGCCTCCTAATCATCCCCTTCCACCGAATTGGCTCTATCACTGTCTCTCAACTCTACCAATAGCTGGTGTGTAGTGAGCGCACTGGCGCCGTTGTCCTGTGGCAGCCGTCGCATCATCCAAGGGGATGCTGCACAATAGTGGTGGTGTGGAGAGACCCCCTCATGATTGTGAAGCGCTTTGGGTGTATGACCATACACAATAAATGCGCTATATAAATACACATTACATTACATTATACCCGCATATGGCAATCCCCATACCCACTGTACCCCTAGACCCTCATTAGGCAATCCCCATACCCACTGTACCCCTAGACCCTCATTAGGCAATCCCCATACCCACTGTACCCCTAGACCCTCATTAGGCAATCCCTATACCCACTAGACCCTCATTAGGCAATCCCCATACCCACTGTACCCCTAGACCCTCATTAGGCAATCCCCATACCCACTGTACCCCTAGACCCTCATTAGGCAATCCCCATACCCACTGTACCCCTAGACCCTCATTAGGCAATCCCCATACCCACTGTACCCCTAGACCCTCATTAGGCAATCCCCATACCCACTATACCCCTATACTCACATCAGTTCCTACAATGCAACACAATAATGAGTGTACAACCCACCTACATTCAACGGCTAGAAAGTACCCATAATGCACTGTGAGAGTTTGCACACCAAATGAACTGATGCGTCTCACAACAATACGACGTCCACAAAGGAATCCTATCAGTGTACGTTTCTAAATTAAATTATCTAATTGTTAAATGAATATTTTCATACATGACAGAAATCAAATGATAAATCAAATAAACAAATCAAAATGCAGAAAACAAATACTTTGTTTCCTTACTAATAGACAACTACCAATGGATTTGACCAAGAAGTTGAAAAACGAATCCCTCTGAGGGATTTATCAAGCAGCAAAACACAAAACAGCATCCATTCAGTGCACTCAGCAGTGCTCCAATTCACTCGCTTGTTTACATGTACTTCTTCAAGTGGACTAATTAATGGACCCAACATGCCATTGTTTTGCTCCAGTAATCAATCTCATTCTCCCAGGCTTCCATACCTTTGGCGGCCCATGCCCTCAGTGGGCTGTTGTCGTCTATCACATGGTAGAAAGTGAGGGGTAGGATGAGAAAGGGACTGTCACTAGATGTGTCCACTTGGAAGGCTACATTCCTCTGGTCCAGACGCACCGTCTCCCCCTCTTTAGTCTGCGACGTCTGCAGTAGCTTACCTGATACCTGTGCAATCAGAGATATGAGTTAATCTTATGTGACCGTGCAAATGATAATGGAATGAACCATCATTTCCTCAAAGATGTGCTCACCTGGCAGCCCAGAAGCAGGCTCTTGCGCATGTTGGCCACTCTAATCATGAGACAGGGTCGACCCTCATGATTGGCTACCACAGCATGCTGACTAAACTTCACCGTCTCGCCACGCTTCTTCGGCCGAGCTACCTGTATATCGCAGAATAAACACAGGGCTCGAAATTAACTTTTTTAGTTGGTAGCACCGGTGCTCCCAACTTCAAATATTTAGGAGCACCAAAAAAATTTTAGGAGCACCAGAAAAAATTTAGGAGCACCCACCAAAAATGAATGAGCACCACTGCAAATTGTTTTTTAAGGGATTTATTGTATTTTAAAACAACATTAATAGGACTGACAAAAACCAGAAACAACTATCTAACTAATGCTGCGAAGACATTGATATTTGTGTGCAATAATTCCAAAATGAATGTCTAATAATTAGGCCATAGAATATTAATGATGATAAAAAATGACAATAATAGTAATGAATTCCATTTCTCATTATGATGCTGCCTTGAATGTGCATGAATGTAGGTTATCTGCTATAAAAAGTCTGTTACTTTATGAAAAATAATTGTATAGTTTGCATCAAACAAAAATGAAGCATTGCAGTAAGAAATATTTATTTTGTACTGCTGTTTTTATATGCATGTCAATTTAATAAATAATATTTCTGCTACAAAACAAACAAAATATTATAATAAATCATTCAATTCAATGATGAAAGCTGAAAAGCAGTCATCAGTAAATAAATAAAAAAATAATATACACCTCAAAAAAGAATAGACAAAAGAAAGTAAGTAAATTCTCACTTCTATCACTCTTTAAAAGTTTTGGTTTCAGTTTGTGTCAATTTAAATGTTCAGTCTGAGATGATCTTCATTTTTCTGTGTTAGTGGAAAAGCTGGCGAGTCAGCCGACCCAATTTATGAGCAGGCAGAGCAGGATTCTTGCGCTAATCTTCGGCGCAATACCGGTCTTTGTTATGAGCCGCAGTTTCAGTGTAAACTTAGTAAAGGCGAGCTTCTTTGGCGATGATATGTACAGTATTAGATTTGACATTTAGCGGACATTTGTGCTGAACACGCAGTGAATGCAACGCATGGAGATTCGCGCACCTTCTCCAAGAAGCGGGTACTCGATTGATCTCAGCTGGCGGATCATTATTCACCACATGACGTGTCATGATCGCTTTCATCTGCGCCTTAACTTTAGCTGGGCTTTGCAAACCTGCGTGCTTTAAGCTTTTACTCTTTAGCCGTTTGCATTTCCCGTGGTCATAAAAGCTCCTTCCCTGTCATCTGACAGCGGAATACCTTGAGTGATTGCCGGCTTATATAAACCAATATAGCGGCAGGGAAGAGCGATTCAGCACGTTTTTACAAAAAATCAAAACAGGTCGCACTACAACCATTATCTGCAGTCGCACTAATGCGCCCAAATATATTATAAGGTCGCATAGATTAATTTTCGGGTGCATATGCGACCAAAATGGTCGCAATTTCGAGCCCTGAAACATTAGGTCTGAAAGAATTATACAGGTTATCAGACTGTTCAGATCTAAACATGAATCCAATTCTCGTAGGGCTGCATGGTTAATCAGAATAAAGGCTCGCGCTTTTCATCGACTTTCAACGTCTTGTGACTAAACAAAGGCCGCCAATGTGATCATGCACACCAATGTGCAAAACTGCAGGCATAGAAGCATCATTTTTAAAGAAATGCCTCATGCTTGTTTTTGTTTTTTTAACGTGCCGCTTTAAAATCTTTTCCACCAATCAGATTGGCTCCTTGGTGCTGCTGAAGTTACAATAAACACCACTTGGAGGCGCTCGAGCTTGCCCAGATTTACTTTCATGCAATGAACAAGATGATGCACCAGGGTAAAATGATGCTACTTTTCTTCATACTGTAGTTGTCTTGACACAAAGAGCTATATGATAAACAAAATAGCAACTACAGTATAATAATGTAGAGTAGAGCTGCACGATTCTGGCTAAAATGAGAATCGCGATTTTTTTTTTTTAGCTTAAAATAAAGATCACGATTTTCTCACGATTCTGTGGATTGCAAGAGTTCACACTTAGCTGATGATTTATAAAAGCTTGTTTGGCAGGCTGTCCCAGGAGAGAGCCCCGAGCTCAAGGGTTGCTCGAGCCCGGGGCTTCCTCCCGTTGGCAGAGCGAGAGGGGAGCCTGAGCTCGGAGGATCTCAGAACTCCCCTGCTGCGGTAGCTAAGGGAACACAAGGGGTTAGACAAAAGCTTGATTGTTATGTATGTTGAATGTCTTTGGATGGTGGGATGAAACCGGAGAACCCGGGGAAAACCCACACGGACACGGGGAGAACATACAAACTCCTCACAGAAACACCCACCGGTCCTGTGGAACCAGGCATGGCAGTGTTCTTGCTGTGGGGCTCACAGTGCTAACCACTGGGCCACCGTGCCGCCCAATCAGAGGTAAAGGAGGAGAATAGGGGAGGAGGGGGGTTTCTTCCAAACAAAGATAAAGTGAACTGGAAACTGTGGCTATTTATAGTAGCTTAGGGCACAGATGATTGGAAGATAGTGATTAGCAAATGCGAGACCGGCCTTGATAAATCATAAGCACGTGATCCTCTCGAAATTAGTTTATGAATAAACTTCACGTAAAATAAAGGTATGGTAAAAACAAACATATGGCACAACCTCGATAACAATATTATGTGTAGGTCTACTGGTTTCTATAAATAATTCTGATCTACTTATAATATCTCTGATGTTGAATTATTATGTTTGAGATATATGCTTGCAGTCTGTCATATTAGACAATTTTATTCACTGGTAAAATCAGACATTTGCCATTATCAGATTATATTCAACAATATATAGGCTAGAGTAGTTATACTGACACTGTAAACATTTATTTTCATGCACAACTGTGTGTTCGCTATGAAAGAAAAAACATCAAATGCTTGTCGTAATCATAACTCTATAATGTGATATGATCATTTTAATGAAGTGCACACTTTCGGTTTCATTTTGACTGCTAAGTGCTGTTCATACTACACACACGGCTCCCAAACGATCACTCTGTGCCACAAACTGAATATTATTTACTACTGTATTACTTGTTACTCGCAACATATGCAGGTTCTGTTCACTAAAGTAGACGCGCGCGCGTCTATCACTAAGTAGAGCGCGCGCGCCCGCCCTCTCTGTGATAACAGCTCATGGTCAGCTGCTCACGTCACGTGTGATTACCGGATCGCGAAAACATCATGATATTAAAACAAAAATTTAATTTTAAGGTGAGTTATACCTTATAAATACAGTATGTGACTCATTCAACATCATTTGGGGTTGTCAATGTCACTGACCAACGTGTGTGAAACAACCCTAGTAGCAAAGAATTCTGGCCCAGATTTGGCATAAAGCTGGCACAGCAGGCATTCATCCGGCACTGGCATACAGCATGTGGGCCAAACATGGCCCGGGTTTGGCAGAGGTGGCACCGTCTTTAAGGCGGCACACAAGATTTGGGCCAGATGAAAAACGTAGTATTTGGCCCAGATTTAAAAATGTGATAAGTGGGCCATTTGAGTTTGGCCAGTTTTGACCCACATTTAAAATACACTAAAATCCTTTTTGAGTTAAGAAAAAAAAAATCTACCAATCAGGTCACTTTGAGAAAAAGCGTGCCCATAGTGTGCCTAAATCGAATCACTCTATGGATTTATCAATTTCATTGCAATCGTGACACACCAACCTATCTGGCCCAGTTCAGGCCCAGTTATGAGTTATTAACTTGGCTGAGACTTGGCCCAGATATGGTCCATGTTTGGCCCTTGTCTGGAAGCCAGATTTGGTCCAGTCATGTACCGTAATTCACTGCGGCATGTGGGCCAAGCAAAACCTGATTGTGTGGGCCAGAGCTGGGCCAGAGAAATTTTGCTATGTGGGAATGAAAAGACTCGCGCAGCCGCCTTTTCTTCTCTCCTGAACTTGAAGTTATGATTGGCAGAATCGTAGAAATGCTGGATTAAGATCGTCTAGGGGGTCGAATCGAGATCGCGATCTTTTAACGATTAATTGTGCAGCTCTAATGTGGAGCAGTGGAGAGTAGCAAATAGGATTCATGGCTTGCAAGTCCATGAATTGCCATTTAAGCTACTTTGCGAATTCACTCTGCTCAACTATGATGAAAATCGCCTGGGTTTGCAAATTATTGTTTCTCAATTGTGAGAGCTATACCTTGGCGAGGAAGGTTCCCGTGATGAAGATCTCCATCACCATTGTGATGACGAGCTGAACTATCAGCAGGATGATGGCGAGTGGACATTCCTCAGTAATGCAGCGAAAGCCGTAGCCAATCGTAGTTTGCGATTCCAGAGAGAAAAGAAACGCTCCGGTGAGAGTCTGAACCTGCATGACACACGGCGTATGGTTGGATGGAGGATCAAACTCTGGGGAGAGAGATGGCAATAACGCTCAGGTTAGCTTCCTGCTAACATCTGTCAAACAATAACTTAAATCAATAATTCAACCCAAAAAAATTTATCAGTCAGACAAAAACAGAGTAGTTTTTAAATGTAATCCTAACTCATTTATGCTGTGTAGTGGCGTTGTGTAGTGGCTTTTATTCTGAAGCTTCCAAAAGTGCACAAATAAAGCCCCCAAGGGGTTAACATGTCTTGTAAAGCAGATCAATTTGTTTTTGAAAGAAAAATATTTATAGTTTTTCAATTCATTAACACCAATCACTGACTTCCGGTGGTGGCCAAATGCATGTAATATGCAACTGACGAATACTACATATGATGAAGGATGGGTAGACACATGTCACATTGCAAGGGTAATATACTTTATAGACTGAATTCACGCGGCCGCCATTTTTAAAAGCGAAAACGAGGCTGCGGTGGGAAGAAACCTGGAAGTATCATTGGGGGTTACATAGGAACGTTGTGTAACTGGCTATATATCTTATTAGCATAGAGAAAGTGACACAAATTAATAATTTTACAGCTTTCTGGGTGACCTGAAGGTCCGTTCTGAATGAATAGTGAATGTAAAAAGGGAGATCAGAGCTCATTTTCAGCTAAGTTAAGGGAAGTGGCACTAGTTAGCTAACGTTTTCTTTCCCAAACACAATTTTTAGATGCCATTAATCAAACTCAAGTTAATGAACTGATTCTTTCACTATATTAGACTCGTCACGATACTGAATTAAAAGAAAAAACATCAATATCCCGCTAACATTTAAAGCACTGTTGATGGCTTTCTTAAAACAGCGCTGATTTGCCATTGTGTTCACATGCTCAACAGAAATGATTGTGATTGGCCGAGAAGGTCATCAGTTCACCCTCTGCTGTTTACCGAGCACAAACAAAACAGACGAGCGATCCAGTCTCTGTGTATCTGTGTTTGCTCTGGGTGAAGAGCAGTAAACTGAGTGCAAACACAGATACACAGAAACTGGAGCGCGAAGCAGCCAGGAAGATCAGTTGAGTCATAAACGTTCAGCAGAGCTTCCATGTTAGTGGGAAATAGACGGTTTTTAAACTCCAGTACCAGGACAACACTATTACAGACAACACGAGGGCGTGCTGCAGAGGACTGCAGTGTTTTATCACTCACCTGGTTACATAGGCTGATGCAGGAAAGCGTCCCCACGGTGTTTAACTAGTGCCATGAACTGAAGCCTAGGAGGACACTTAAGCGTATCACTGAGGTTGTGATGTTGTTTAATGCTAAATTTCTTTTAATTGTTTAAATTGAACTTACTGAATGATATTAAAGTGAGGTTTACACCATTTCTGCATTTTGAAATCTCGGCAACAGCCGGAGGTTTGTAGTCCACAGCATGTTACTGCAATGTTTACAGTGCTGGTCCTATACTTCTGGGTTTCTTCCCACCGCAGCCTCGCTTTGGTTCTTTAAAATGGCGGCCGCGTGAAATAAGCGTATAGCAATATACAGTACTGCCATGCCAACTAGTTTTCTTTTTTCGCTGTCGATTTCTATGGTAAACAAACTGTTCACTAGACGCGTCTTACGCTTCTGTTACAAAATGCATCTTAAAGTCTACCTGAAGCAGAAGTTGCTGAGAGTTATTGATGTTCTTCCAACTGAATCGGATTATTGAGTAGGGGGTGGAGCTTTCTTTTGCGCATCATTCCTTCATAGCAAATTAACAGTCAGAGACTGTATTAATATGCAGTTGCTATGGAAACCCTCAAGTTGACATCAACAGAAGGACCATCACTCCAAATGCAAAAGCAAATTTTTAGACTTTTACTGAAAGTTACCAGAACAAACAACTTATTTTAACTAATTAATTAACTTGTAACATTAATTAACATAAACATTTTCATTTTAAGTGGACGTTAAGTCAAGTTAGCTGCACAAAACGTGTATTTGGTCACCGGCAGAAGTCAGCAGTTGGAGTTTACGGTTAAAAAACTTATTAAATATTTTTTTTTAAACTAGGTCAGTGCAATTGATTGAAATTGGATTTCAATTTTTGCCTCCATTTTCTATGATGAAGTATTAATCAAGATAATAGGACGAAAAAAACGCATACAAAAATCTCAGACTTCAATGTGCAAAGACCTTTACCGCCATTGCATCTTCCACGTCTGTATGATGTTCACATTCAAATTGAAGAGCAAAACAAAGCGCCAAAAATTAATGTTTAAACTAAATAAAATGTGCTTTTAAAAATGTCAACAACAACTATCCAACATCATGGAAAAGCCAGGATAAAACGTAAATCTACTCTGAACGAATATTAAGTCATATAGAAGGTCATATACACCAATAACAGCTTGTTTAAGGTGAGCAAATTATGGGATAATTTTCTTTTTTTTTTCCATCTAATCCCTTAAAGCACATCCTCCTCACCTAGTAAATCTCCATGCACGAGGGCCACCAAGTACCACAGGACCCCAAAGACAAACCAGGTGCCAGCAAAGGTGGCCGAAAACAGGAAGAGCTTGTAGCGCCACTGCATGTCCAGGAAGGTGGTCCAGAGGTCCCGCAGGTAAAGTGTCCCGCGGCCGCTTACGTGTTCGATTCGAACGTTGCTCCGCCCATCTTTGGACAGAACCCGTCGCCGGCGTCTCAGAGCTGCAGGGCCGTTTCCTGTGGAAGTTCCGCCCCCTCCGCCACCAAGGAGGGGCTTCAGGACATCTGTCTGTGTCTGGGAATGGCAGACTTTCTGGGGGGAGGAGCTACGGGAGGAAGGGGGCGTGGCTGAAGTCATAGCTGTAGGGATAGGAGAGAGATGTTCATTTATTTCTGATTAGATTAGATTCAAATGTATTGTCATTGCACATGTATAAGTACAACACAACAAAATGCAGCTTAGGTCTAACCAGGAGTGCAATAGCAGCAAATGCAGAATATAGAGCTATACAAAGCAAGGAATTTTTCACAGTATTTCCTATAATATTTTTTTCTTCTGGAGAAAGTCTTAAGCAATATAAGGTCTCTTAATCAATATATTGTTTTCGATAGTCTACAGAACAAACCATCATTATACAATGACTTGCCTAATTCACCTAGTTAAGCCTTTACGCTGAATACTAGTATCTTGAAAAAAATATCTAGTCAAATATTATGTGCTGTCATCATGGCGAAGACAAAAGAAATCAGTTATCAGAAATGAGATATTAAAACTATATCATCTATAAGCGATATCACCACATGGGCTCAGGACTACTTTGGCGAAGCTTTGCCAAGTACCACAATACGTAGTTACATACACAAATGCCAGTGAAAACTGTACTGTGCCAAAAGGAATCCCTATGTTAACAGTGTCCAGAAGCAGCGTTGACTTCTATGGGCCAGAGAACACAGTGGAAACGTGTACTGTGGTCAGATAAATCAGGATTTTAGGTCTATTTGGGGAGAAATGGATGCTGTGTGCTCTGGACCAAAGAAGAAAAGGATCATCCAGACGGTTTCAAGCAACAGGTCCAAAAGCCAGGGTGTGTCATGGTATTGGGTTGTGTCAGTGCCCTTAGCAAAGGAAACTGCTTTGGTTTACCATTATTGCTAAGAAAGTACATTGTGCCTTTGCGTATTTCAACAAGACAATGCAAAACCACATTCTGCACACATTACAAAGCCCCAGCTGTGGAGTAAGAGGATACAGGTACTTGACTGGCCTGCCTGCAGTCCTGACCTGTCTCCAATAGAGGATGTGTTTCACATTTTGAAGCCCAAAATGCAACAAAGACCCCAAACTGTTGCTCATTTTAAGACTTGTTTGCAGGAAAAATGGGACAGAATTACATATGAATCCCTTCATTACTTAGTGTCTTCAGTCTCTAAACATTTTTAAAATGTTGTAAAAAAAATAATAATGGCAACGTTACGAAGTGGTAAATGGTGTACTGCTCCAACTTTTTTGCAAGAACCAAAATTGAAAGATGTGTTTATTTAGTTAATGCTTGTTGTATTGTCTGCAATGAAATACAAATTTCAAAAAAAAAGATTATTTATGTTTTTCATACTGTCCTAAGCTTTTCCGAGTTGGGATTGTAGTTTATTACATTTAAATATAAAATCCCCAAAATAAATGACTATTATATTCTGTCCACTACAGTAATGGCAAGACACACTTGTAAAATGCAACCTGCATATTTCTTTCTATTCAAGTTTTGCTCTAAATGCACTACAGCAATTGTCGATTGCACCATAATTAGTCAGTCTGAATTTTCCATTGGCATTTGTTTATTTCCTAATAACTCTGGTTATGGCTCAGTTTACAGTTCCAGTTATCAGTTCAGGTTACAGAAGCACTTTGTATCTTATTACTCTGACATTGAAAGCAGTTCTTCTTAATGAAAAACCCATCCAGCAGTTAAGCTTGCGTGTGAGAAACCCATCACCTTATCTCGTTCTCCAAAAATCTAGGTCGTCCAGTAGCATTTTAGAAGAAACGGCAAAGAAAAGCGAGAGTTTCAATCTCCATCTGAGCTCTTTCTGAAGTAAAGAGAGACACATTAGAGACACATTAGCGAAGTTTCTCTAAGAGCAGAAATGGCCAAAGTAGCTTTCACAGTGATGTTTATCGCGGACACGTGAGCGCATCCTTCCCTCTGGAGGATTGTGCGTGCCAGCATCGGGTCCGGGGGCGACACTGGTGGTCCATTTCTCTTTATTTAACTTTTTTTGACTCCACATTCAGACCCTCCAGCTGCCCGAGCGCATTAAATGCCCCTCATTGACGCAGTGGACGCAGCTGCCCTTTCTCATTTAAAGGCTGCCCATCAGCGCTGACCGGCTCCGTTTCCTGAAAAGGCCGACTTATTCACCGTCCCAAAAGCACAAAAAAAAAAAAAACTCAGGAAGGAATCGCAGATGAAAAGAGCGCCACCATGTTTTCCATATTCTCTGCATTCCTCAGGGGATGACATTTCTCAGCACTTCACCTTTAGAAACACTGACTGTTTTAAGGTGGACTGAATACTGCGTCTCTTGTTGAACTTCATCACACTTAGTTTTTTTTTTGTTGTTGTTGTTTTTTAAGGTACAGTTTTTGCTGTGTGAAATGAGAAAATGACTAATATACATTCAAGAGTTCACACTTAGATATTGCTTGACAGCTGTAAGCAGGTTTGGCATGCTGTCCCGGGAGAGAACCCTGAGCTCGGAGATAGTTGAGCCCAGGGCTCCCGCCAGGTCCATAGAGCATGTGAGGGGAGTACGAGATCAGGTGGTTCTCGAGAGCTCCCCTTTTTAAAGGAGGAAAGGAGGAGAAAGGGGGTGGATGGGGGGTTTCTTCGGAAAACGAAGATAAGGGAGTAATGTCTAGCTAGGCTACTTATAGTGGGTTAGGATAGATCTGATTGGCTAACTAATGAGTGTAGATAGGTGGCCAGCTGCAGTCAATTATATCATGTGCTCCTCTCGAAATTAGTTTAAAAACTTCACATAATATCACACATTATTTTTAACCCTTGTGTATTGCTCAAATTGACTATACGTCTATTATAATGACATTTTTGATTCCAAAGTCATGATGAAAGTCAACGAATGATCTTTCATTCTTGATTGTTGGTGGTTTTCCCTGTTGGTTGTTGAAATGTGATTTTAATCGTTACTCATCATCAGGGCCAGACAGAATCTGCGGAAGTTTTTTGCTTTTTCTAAGGAGAATTTTGGTAAAAATCTGCGGATTTCTGCGGAATTATTTTGGGAGTGTCCAGCGGAGTATCATAACTTAGACCTTAATATATTAAATAAAAAGTAATAAATTACTGAATAAAAACTGAATAAATTCAGAATTACACATTTACTTAAGTAAATAAACTGAATTAATGATGGGCTAAAAATCTGCGAAATTCTGCGGAAAATCTGTAAAAAAATCTGCGGAAATCTGCGCGCGCAGATTCCGTGTGGGCCTACTCATCATTAACTATTTAGATAGGCCTTTGCAAAAAAGTTTCAGGCTTTTAAATGCAGTTAACAGAGATTATAGTGTGCGTGCATAAATACACTCGCTGTTTTTACTAGATTCTGGGTGCTGAGCTGCTTATTTTATTTTTTCTCAGACATATCAAGTGCACAAAGATCTCTCACACACATTATACTTCATATAAAAGCCTGAAACTAAGCTTTTTTTTGCACTGCTACTGTTGATCAACTGTACAAATTACACGTTTGACCTCTTTTCAACAGGGAAACCTACAATCGGGAATGCATGATTATATGGTATCATGGCTTAGCAATCAATAATGTCATTATAATGGAAGTCATTGGGGCACAAACAGCCACTACATAACGAAAGGGTAGTCAATTTGACCAGAGTAAATTGTTGAATTTTTGAAAACTTTCAAAGCGTTTTTCAAAGAATTTAATTAATTCATTCACTCATTTTCTTTTCGGCTTAGTTCCTTTAATAATCCAGGGTCGCCATAGCGGAATGAACCATCAACTTCTAGAATCTAGCATATGTTTTACGCAGCAGGTGCCCTTCATCAGGAAATAATTATACACACCCATTCACACACATACACTAAAGACAATTTTGTCTTACCTAGTTCACCTTTAGCACATGTCTTTGGACTTGTGGGGGAAACCGGAGCACCCGGAGGAAACCCACGCCAACACTGGGAGAGCAAGCAAACTCCACCTAGAAACACCAACTGACCCAGCCGAGCCTTAAACCAGCAACCTCCTTGCTGTGATGCAATCGTGCTACCCACTATGCAGCCCCACCAAAATATAGGTCAAGGTAATATTTATCACTAAAATCACAAACACAGAGAGAGTTGAGGCCAAATTAAGCCTCAAAATTTCCTCAGAGTGGATAAAAACATCTCCAACAGCTCAAAAATCGAAAAGGCAATAAGCCACAGGTTAATAGTGAGAATTGGTACTTAAAGGGAACCTATAAAGCCTGGTTTATACTCGACGCATCCACTTGTTAACTTGAGTATGTGCGGTGAATGTGACGTCATCGCGGAGTTTGCGGAGGTTCGCTTTGGGTGCGCGTGGCATGATTTCGGCTGCGGTGCGTAGGGAATTTTTTGAGACTTGAGCAAAGAGTGCGGGCGGCACCGCAACTGATTTGAGTTAAATATGAAACACTCTGAAGAGATTTTTATCTGAAACAGTACGACTGTACACATACCTTTATGACCCATGATCAGAGAGATAACCAGATGATCAATAATTCTTGGCTAGAAATTGCAACAGCCGTGGAAAAGGAGAAAGTTTTTGTTAAAAGGTTTGGAAAAACCTGAGAGATTCATTTATTAAAACCAAAAGAGGCCATGGCCAAAGTGGATATGAGAATATGTTTTTTCACCAGTCATAGGTTTTTACACTGATCTATTTTGTCTATTTTTAAATTTAAAACAGTTTAATAGATACAAAAAAACTATAATGAAGTCACAGAATTATTTTTTTGATAACTGGGAAGGAATATTTAAACATATCGGTTTATAATATAATGATGGCCTGTTTCTCAAGGCTTTATTGATGATAATGGGCAGGAATGTTGGACCATCACTGCCTTTTTAGCAGAAGAAGAGGACAGAAACTAGCCAGACAGTTTAATGTGTGAATTGTGGAGCGGGTTAAATCTAAAATAAATTGTATTTTTTAGTAAGTGTGCTTTTTTTTGTGATAAAACATATATTTGTAAAGTAACTCATGTTCTGTTGTCATTAATTTCAAATACAGAATATGTTTTTCCACCAGTCACAGCTTTAACACTGATTTATTTATTAGTGGAGCGAGCTAAATCTAAA